CAGCTGCAGTGCAAATGCAGCCTATAGAGTAATTCTGGATCAAAATTATCACAACAAAAAATATATATGTGGTATGGTGGTATTTGCTATTAATATTATTAGATTAAAAACCATACTATACCGTATCTAAATGATTCCTTTTCAAGTGTGTCTGTGTGTGCACTTTGAGTATCAATGAGTGTAACTCTGTGCTTGTGGAGTTGGAGGGAGTGTAGGTGTGTACGTGTGTGCCTATAAATGGATGAACAATGACTCCTTTTGTTGTGTGGTTATTTCCTTTCCTTCATGTGCGTACAAAACCGATTTACCAAAATGTATGTCCCACACAGCTGACACAGATCTGCCTTATGTTTACTTCTCTCTTGACAGACTTGTTACTCCAGTCATGAGAGCAGAAAGGGAATAGGATGTTGCTTAAAAAAATAGAGAAAAGCAAAACTAAGGAGGCCTTTCAACTCCAGCTGAGGGTCAGATCCTCTCCTGGCAGGTTAAAGGTTGAGAGTCTAATTACATCGTCAGTGCTGTGAGAGCTCAGTGGGATGTGACAAAAGATGGAGGAGAAAACCTGCCTCACAATCATTATCCTCAACTTCTCCAAAGACACAAACATCTTTTTTGACCCAGGAGAATTTCACTGTTTGTTAGACTCTCCTTACGTTTTCCTGTGTGTTTGTCAGTAAGAGAAAGGAGTTATTGTTTTCTTTTTTACAGTATAATGTGCTCCTTCTGTCCATCCCCCCAGGCGGTATCTGCAGCAGGTTTGCGTCTTGGCAACCACATACAGTAGCAGAGGGCTATGGAACAATGAGAGAGCTGAACTGTGGGGGGCAGAGGTTTTATAATAGGAGGATGGGATGTTTGCTTGGCTGTTCTTGAGTGTCATCAGTTTGGACTTTGCTACTGTATCCATGCAAGCTGGGACAGAAATGAATAAACTCTTTTTTTTTTACAAACTCTTGTGATATTTGTATGCACAAAACCCATTTAAAGACAAGGTTTGCCAATAAGCGCATTGTTTGATAAACTATATTCCGCTGATAACAATGGTGACCCTCCTTGGTATGAGACAATTATGTTTTTAAGACGGTATCAAACTGCATCTCACTCTAGCATGCTTATGATATTCAGTTTGACCAGTAAAATATGTGGCAGAACTGCAGCACTTCTTGTCCCTCCCCTCAAGTAGCGTCCATGTGTCTACCCCCTGGATGTATCTCAAATGTACCATGACAACCTGTCATGCTCAGCTATACGCGCCTGCAGCCAAACAGAAGGGTTCATTCCCCATCAGTGATCAGCAGCAAGCGGGCATCTGCATGCATCTCTTGTTGAAAGAGTTTACTGCTACAGTAGCTACATGACAACACAAAGTGGTAGCATGTGTGCATATTAGGGCATCTGCATGCATGTGTTGAGTATGAATGCATATGTATGCATGTCTATGTGTGTGTGTATGTCCATACTGTGGCTGAGGGCTTACATGTCTCATACACTGGGATAAAGGCAGTGGTGCAGTGATGAGTGATGATCCTAATCTGAGTGCATGTGATCGGCCCGGCGAGGCTGGAGAGATATGAGCGTTTGACTTGTTAAAAGGGATGTTCTTCAGTAAGAGCCTCGTTGGCCCTGACATAACTGGGACATAGTTCTCCTTGTCAAAGCTAATAATCAATTCCCACTACGGGGATAATCTGACAGCAGACCCCCACTGAACATGACGCCTCCCAACGCAAGCTGTCGTCACATCCCCATATATTAAAAACAACCCAAACAGTTACCAGTAGCAGCTACAATAACCCTGTGTGGCCCATATTCATAAGGTAGTAAACACTCGACAATGGGACTGATCTTCACTCTGTGCTTTGATGTTGGAGTTTGACGTTAATGGCTGATAATACGGCACATCAGGGAGACTGCCAGTTTCTGAAAAATTTGGCCAAAGATAAAGGAGTTTTCATTCCTCCAGGCACTGTATGTGTGTCCAAACCAAACGACCTCTGAAGATATACTTTTGATTTGTTCTATCAGAGCACTGGCTATTCTTTATATATATATAATTTTTTATATATATTTTTGTGGGAACATAACCTGTGTATGGTACAGTGGCGGCAGGTGTCCCCCAGGGGGTGGTGAGATGAGCTGGGCTGCGGCATCGTTCCTCATCTGGACGGAACATTAATAACGCTGGGACCTGGGGAGAAAGCTCCATCTGGGCCAGGCCGGTGCGCTGCTGAGGGGACAGACCACTGACTCCACAAGTCTATAATCCCTCACATAGTGCAACGGCAGCCTGCGGGGCCCAGTTGACAAACACATGCAACTTTCAGGTAAAGATTTTCTAGATAATCAAAACCCTTGAATGGAGTCTCTCCACCTACTCCAATCTGTGTTCATTTATTTCCACACTTACAAAAAAAAGATAATTTAGTTAAATGCTGTGTTTGTAATGCGTGACACTTCCGACTACAAATGAGCTCTTATGAATAATCACATAATTATTTCGTCTGCCTTTCAACCCTTATCCCATGGTGGGTTCAGTGTTAAATAAATAACAAACAGCCAAGCAGGTGAAAATTATCCAAGAGAGAAAGCTAAGGCCCCAAACAAAGCAAACCGAATGATTAGAGGTGAGGTCACCTTAACTCTTTCAGTGTGGTGCAATGGTGCTCAATGCAGTAGCTTCCTGCTCAGTGACTTGTCATTTCCATTTTTATCACCCCTCCTTCTATGAGTGCCTGTTAATCAATACACTAACAGCAAGAACTCTTTCGCTGCGAGAACCCGAAAGCACAGAGGCATGAAGTGTTAACAACATCTGCTTCTTCTCCACCTCCATTCCTTGGTCCATCTAATTTAGTTTTTGATTTGTATATCTTTGTCAAACTTCTATTGGCTACTTCTTTGGATGTCCTAATATCCCCTTTTATTATTACATGGTTTTCATCTTTAGGGTTGTGGGCAAGAAAATGTCTCAGTCTGATTTTAGGTCTGTCAAGGCCATGTTTAGTGAGACACAATCTGAGTGAATATAAAAGGAGTCCAGAGTCCCTTGTCTGTTGGGTGCTGCGGAGGAGACAGTGTCTGGTCGTGTGTCTCTCTGTACAAGGACAACACACTCTCAGAGCTCTGTAAATGTTTCATTCAGACGATGCCTCCAATCCCAGTGCAAACATCTATTTTTTGAGAAAAATGTCTCAAGGACCAAAAATTCCACTGTTCACAAAAAAGGTTTTATAGGGTTTTGGGTAAGGATTGATCAAACCAAGAGAAAGTTCTTTAGTATCGTCCTTTGCTCATATGTAATTCATGTTCTAGGATCTTCTTGAGTGTCAGCTGTGGCTAACCAACCCTGTGAAACCCACTGAGCGAACCTGTCTGGCCCTTCATGTAACATCCCTCATAATGAAGATATTTTGGTGTCATTTCTTTGCAAGAGGGCAGTCAGAGAGATGACTTTGATCTCTGTTGAAGGTGGGGGTGAAAAGATCGAGACTGAGGAGCAATAAATGAGCTCCGTGGAGTAAAAGGGGCGACGCAGTTCTGTCTCAGTAGACTTGTGACTTCCTGTCAGCTTTTTTTTTTTTCCATGGAGCTGCCTCTGCCTGATTGTTTTTCTCAGCTGAGGTAATTCAGGTGCACTAGCCTGGAGCTTCCCTGACTTGTGTTTATTAGTTATTCATTTCCATCAGCCTGAGCTGCCTTAGGCGATGTGATCTGCAACGTGCTCCCCACTCAGGTGTTCAACAGCCCAACTGGATCATCCTCTATCTCCCATGATGCCCAGCAGCACAGCATTAGGTTCTTAATGGTTCAATGTATTTTTATATTTAGAAATATCAGAGAGAGACAGCAGAGAAAGGTATATTAATGATCATATAAAATGATGTAGGTCTTTGTCTGAGGTGTTTATTAAAGCATGTGAAGAATCATTATTTTTGAAAAAAATGATTCAAACCTGACGATGATCTCATTTTGGATCTGTGGTGAAATGTACATGTACTCAAGTACTGTACTGAGCACAATTTTATGATCCTTGCACTTTACTTGAGTATTTTTATTTTATGTTACTTTCTACATTCTGCAGGCGAATAATGTACCATATACTCCACTACACTAGTTACTTTGCAGGTGTAGATTATTATAGCAAACTAATCAGCTTCTAATTTATGATGCTTCCTAGCAGTATATAAAGTAACTTATTTTCTCTCTGTAACATTACTCGACAAACAACCAGCTCAATGCTTATTTATGTTGTGTCTCATGAGTAATGAGGCACTGTTGCAATTAGTTCTGAATGATGGATTTATGTTCTTATGATTTCATTCTTCATTTTTAGCTGTTTTTTCATCTATTTTATAAAATCTATTTATATGTATGTTTTATATCACAATGCATGTGCAATATTTTACATATCTTTCTTATTTTTTTTATGTATCTTATTATTGTGTATAGCACTGTTGATTGCAGCTGTGTGTAGCACTACTGCCCAAGCCAAATTTCCTCTCTGGGATAATAAAGTATATCTTGTCTTATCTTAAAATTAGCTCCACATTTAAACCCTAACCCCTAACCCTGAAATGGGCCATTATACATAACAAATTCTTCATGAGTATATTTTGATGCTAAAACTTTTGTACTTTTGTAACTTAAGTACATTAAGTAGTTAGCTTGAATGCAGGACCTTTACTTGTAACAGAGTATTTTTACACTGTGGCATTGTTATTTTTACTTAGTAATTTATCTGAATAGTTCTTCCACAGCTGCCTTGGACACATCTTCTGTTTCTGAAATGAAATATCAGTCTATACATCACATTTTGTGTAGAAAGCTGCAGTTAGACAGGACGAGTCACTGAGTCACTAAACTTCAAGCATGTTGGATGTATTATGTAAATAATTCTTAGGGATAATGGACCGAGTAACATGTATCAAATAGAAAAAATCCCTCAGTACGAAATGGTCAGCAGCAGCACAGTGTTAAAACACATAAGATCTCCTCACCATCCACACAAGATGGTTTGTTGCGTGTTGTCCCGGCCACTTTCCCCGGTAAACAGGAGCACTTGACTGTCTGAGAACGCTCCTCAATGCGATTCTTGTTACAGCATCGGTGGGCGGCAATCACCTCACACGTACCTCCCTCTGCAGACAGACACAAATACAGAGGTACATGGTCAGTAAATGGGAGAGATTAATAGAAAACATGTTACAGAAAATTAACTGAAGCAAATGTACTGTGACTTTTCATTAAAGGTCCAGTGTGTAACATTTAGGAGAATCTATTGGCAGAAATCGAATATAATAACCATAGGTATGTGTTTATTAGTGTATGATCACCTGAAATTAAGAATTGTTTTGTTTTCGTTACCTTAGAATGAGCTGTTTTTATCTACAGAGAGAGCAGGTTCTTTTCCATGGAGGCCGCCATGTTGGACCGCCATGTTTCTACAGTAGGCCAGAATGGACAAACTAAACACTGGCTCTAGATAGGGCTGTTAGCATTCTTTGCATGTTTCACAGCTATTTCTTCTTCACGCTTAGAAGTGGAGGGTGAAGCGAGTGAGTTGCAATCTAAAATTACACTGCTAGATGTCACTAAATCGTACACACTGTACCTTAAACTGGCTATACATGCGTTTTCATCAATATCAAAAATCCAATCAAGAAAAAATATGTGAATGAAAGACAGGCTTAGGGAAACTCAGCTACCTCAGATCATATCATGTGAGGCACGCTGCAGTACAATCATTGGGCACTTCCACTGTAAGTATGTGGAACAAATTGGCCCTCAAGGCATCTCAATTATGTCATCTAATTGCCTCTCACTCAGTGCTGGCTGTTCTCACTCCATACCAATCAGCCCATGATGAAGATCACATCATGCACTCGCTATGTATTAATGTGCCCCCCTTTGCATCCTTGATATCTTCCATATGTTGTCAATATGATTAAAATGAGACAGATCTTTTGTCTACGCTTCTGTAGTGAACACCTGGCAGTCACAGGCTTCAGTCATAGACTGAGATTGCTGAGACCCTTGAGTCCCTTGACTAAGCCAACACAGTCTTGGGCTATACTATACTAAAGCATTAACTCCAAAGCATAGGTGACATCAGTCAGAGCAAATGCTGTACAATAGGTCCCAGTCTGACAAAGGAGGATGTCAAAAAAATTCTGTGAAAAGAGAAGGCGATATGCACCGATGGCAATACTGGGTCAAAATAACAATAGGAAGGATTGCCCAGGGGAGGGAGAGGGGGGTGATGGAGCTGAGGGACATCCTGAAATGAGTGAGACAGGCAGAGAGAGAGAGCTAGAGGACAAGGTGTGTCTGGCTGCCAGGGACTGGCCATGCCAGTGAGTAATGAGGGAGCCACTGGAAGTGCCCCCTTCACACAATTATAAAGCGTGAGGCTAATGCAGCCAGCGGAGCTGCAGGAGAGAGGCCCTCCATCACCGCTCTCCCCTTTCCATACGCCCCAGGAAAAACTCTTTATCTTCCCTTGACAGCCACCGCAACAGACACTAGCGTCCAACAATTAAACTAGAGCTCATCCCCGGACAGAGGAGAGGAGAGGAGAGGAGAGGAGAGGAAAAGGGAGAACTTATCCTTTCCAATCCACAGAATGGATAGAGTGCAAAAACAAAGGGAGACAAGCAAATGCCACATTCCATCTTGTTTGTGTCTTATTTCACTTGGCCCTACCAAGTTTTAAAGAGAACACCCTGCTGCGGCAAGAAGATGCATCTGCTTCCACTGGCATGACAACAACCGGTGTATGTTTCTCTAGCTTGGTTGGCTGTGCAAATGTTTGAAATGGCTCGGGTCATGAATTACGTAGCTGAGCTCCCAGCAGCCTAGACAAGTTTGGCAACAGTTTTCTTCTCCCATTCCCATCAATGTCGGCCGTGGCCAGACCAAAGGCTGCAGAGTCCTGGATTAAAAGGCAAACATTTGCAGTCCTGCTGGACCGTGCTGTCGTGCAGTATTAATGTCACTCTCTCAGCGCTTGTTGTTAGATATTTTCTGGGCAGGAGAAGGCAGAACACAGACTATAAAAGTGAGGAGAAAATCCCTTGAGTGTGCTAAAACCCCAAACCCCACAATGTGTTGGCTTGTTGAATATTTTACTGACAGCTTCCTGACCTGCAGACTTGCTTTCAAGTCAAAGCAGATCTCTGAATAAGTGAGGACTTTACGTTGCATCACAGAATACTGAATTGGGTTAAATCCCCATGGCTAGATTCAGAGCCGGATTTGCAGGTTAGCACCACTGAGTTGTACCCAAAAAACATCTGACAAGGGACAACAAAAGGCAACCCCTATCAAGACTTCTGGATTCATTTCTTCAGTGGGTCCTAGAAGCAATTTTGTACATAACATTTTCAAGATTGTATGTTTCCTCATTTAAGTCAGAAACACTCAAGTCCATAAATTTACCATTTATTGCGATTGCTTATACAGTTAGATTTGGCACACAAGGCTCTGTTCTTTGAGCGATCTCTCCGAGAATGTGAGCTGCATTCTGCTGGGAGAACTAATCCACTCATGGGTTAGCTGTAGTTCCATTTAAAAGTTTAGAATAATAATTTATTTTTTCTTCTTTCCTTCAATAACGGCCATTTTACCATAGATTAAAACAATATAATTCAGACACCAAATGTATTATTTACATTTGAAATAATTTTGGCCCCAAAAGAAGAAGAATTAAATGATAACCATCCATTTAGTCGATGTCGATGTTGCATAACATGGGGGAATACTATTGTTACCATGTTCCCCCCAAATACCCTTCGATTTGGAATTTGTTTTCCAGTCTAGGAAAGCATTAGTGAGCCTAGATTGTTTTTTTAAATACAAAGGTGCAATTGGGCTCCAAATATTTTGGGAACCCGTTTCTCTTTGTGGTCTACCCAGTGGTTACACTGAATAGGCTTAAACTATGATTTGTCAGTCCATAGTATGTTCAGCTGATATTCCGTGATCTAATTCCAGTAGCATTTGTATTTTTTTTGCCCTTTCAATTGTCACTCATTTTGATCCATTGCACTGTGTTTTGTTCTCAATGTACAAAACATTACTTTTTTTTCAGACCCTTTATATAAAATAACATCTATTAGTAATGAGTACTTTCTACAACCTAAAAGCACGACAAACCATTCAAAAACATAGAGTAGGCCTCTCAGCCGCCTGACTGTACCAAATCAAGCTTGTTTCAGGTGATTCCAAACTTTTGAACAGTAAGTGAACAATTAAAAAAACAAAGCTTCAGTGACATAAAGGAGGTTGGGGTGTTGGAGGGAGTTGTGGTAACAAGGAGGTCTGGCATAAGAGTGTCAGAAGAGTTAACATAAACAACATTGTGATGCCAATCAACTGACTCAAGTGCAACTTTCTCTGCTGAACTAAAGACAGAAAGCTCCATTCTGAACATTATACAGGAAGAAGTCTAACCCTTTAGAAGACATTACTGAAAAGTCACATGATGTGAATTTAACACTGGACAGGAGTTGGGAGGATTCACTTTGACAGCTTTCTTAGCATTAGGTAATGTAAAGGCTACACGGTTTGTGGGGCTTAAACTTGTAAAAATGCTGATTCTTTAATGGAATATTGTCGTGTTTGTGTCATGTTTTATTTTTAGACTTCTGACTGAATACAAGTTATTAGGACAGAACCCATTATTTTATTTATTATGATCATTATGATGAAGATTATAATTATTGCCATCAGAATTTGGGATTATCACTAACACACACACACACACACACACACACACAAGCACATGCCTGTGTGTATCAGCCAAGGGGTAAGGTCCAGCCATCAGCCAGGTGGACATTAGGCATGATCACTATGAACCATCTGGTATGTGAAGGAGAGAGCAGTGTAAATGGTTTCACGATGACTCTACTGGGCCAGTCATGAGAGCCACTTAGACGACAAATGGCCACTTGGACTGGACACAATCCCATTCAGGTAGTTGGTGGGGTAAATGGCCATCCATTATCTGCGTTTGAGAGTGTGTGTTTGTGCTCATATCAGTTTGTCTGTTTATTTATGCTTATGATATTTTGTGGTATTCCATTGTATATATCTTCTACTAAAACGCTCAAGTGCACAACAGTTACTGTGTGTGCATTATGGGATTACAACAATTTGACACATGACTGTAGGTTGTGATGGATGTAGTGCTTGGAGCCTTTCAGGCGGCTAAAGGGGTTAAACCAACCTGCTAAGATGGAGTGGGTGGCTGTGCACTCTAGCCTTTGGTGAGTGGAGGTGAAGGGCATTGATGGGACCACTGACTGGTCATTTTTCTCTTGGCGGCCCACAGTGACAGCAGCCATTAAATGACTGGACAAGGTGATTATGTTTAAGGAAATCAATGCTTCATTGTTTTCAGCTTAGCCCCAATGGCCAATTAGGAGCTGTTAATGAGGTAAGATTGTAAAATGTGGAGATAGATGTGGGAGAAGGAATGGGAGCTCACGATAAAAAAAAGCAACATTTCATATTAGCATATTTTCCAGAGAAGCACTGAGAATTTCAGATTTGTAGACAAGGTAAATTTATACATGACACTTTGAAAAAAAGCAAAAATCCAATGATTCATATATAAACAACATGTTGTACTTAAATGATGTACCATGTTGGCCCAAATACAGGACTATATATTTTATGGAAATTATGTTTACAAAAGTGTGGGTTGTCTTACATTCAAGGACTAGATACGTGTTCATAACATCAGACGCTCTTTGTTAATTGTGACACTGTCTCCTACAGAGAATGTTGCATCATGGGTTGTTTGTAATGCGTGTTGCAAGGCTAGCATCTGTAACTCAGTTTATAGTGACTTTTTTTAGTCAGACCTAAAAGTATTTTGTTAGCCAAGTTTAAGCTACAGGAGTGTCTGTCTTTTGCTGCCATAGATAGATGGCTCACTGTCTGTCTATGACATTGTTTCTGTGCATAAACTCAAGGTCACAGTAACAAACTCGTGACAGTTTATTCAACCAAAGACTCCAGGCTCACAGGAATGAAAGTGACAGTTTCTTTTATCCTCTGAGTGACAAAGAACGCACTCTACTGGCAACTGATTTCCCTCTGATCTCGCTGGATCTGGCAATTTTTTTACACAGAG